TTATATTTCAATTTCTATTATGGAAAGTCGAAGAGAATTTGCCCAATTCCATAGGGCAATTCCCATTGCCAAGGCTGAGAAAAAAAGTGTTCAAGGACCTAACTTACCCTTGAGCTGGTGTTTGCTGAATTGAAGCAACCGCTGCTTACAATAACACTGAGGAATGGGAATCAGAACTCTTGGTGTCCTTTATTTTCTCTGTCATTCTTTCTTATGGACATACTGACTTTTCTCATGTAATATAGCAAATACATGAAGTGTTTCTGTTTGGCATTTTCCCTAGTTTACCTGCCACTGTGACTTTAGAGAATTTAAGATATTTAGTTTGCTGCAGATGCACAGACCTTGAGCAAATAACTTTGATTCCTGTATCACAGGTCCCCGACTCTAGCACTGCACTACCTTGCAGGTAGATTTTTTTGGTCTTTATCACAAATATTAGGGAATATGCAGGAGCCCTAAGAGCCATGGGAAGGAAATGGGTGCTGCCTTGTTCCTCTAGGACTAATCTTGACTAGGTTAGTCGACCTTAGCTGTGCAGGGGTTCCTATTGACCCCTCTTGGAGTGACACGTGTCATCAGGATTTAGGGTTAGATCATGTTTTTGATGTGAAAGGGAAGAGTGGTAAATGGTTGCTGAGCTGACAGTATTCAGAGGACTGGTTCCATTCTCTCAGCTTTTGTTGGCTTCACTGTCAGCTTTTCTGTTGAAAGAGGCAAGGTCCTGGCTTCTGAATTATTTTTTTTAGAACAGTACTCATGGCACAAATAAAGGAGAATCAAAACCTCCGGTGCAAGTGTTGTTATTTACACAAAAAGGCTTCTGCTAGAGCAACTGAGCTAGATCATCAGCTCTTTGTTGTTTGCATTGGGCATATAGGGTTCACAAGCCAAGGAGATGTGAAATTATAACATTTGGACTCTGCTGTCAGCTCTGAAGTGCTCTTCCAGGCTCTGGGCAGCACAGGCTGCCTTCCACACTTAACCACCTTAGGCACTAGAAGGGGAGGAACCATCTAGCACAACTTTAGCAGCCTTGAGGCTACCCTAAATCATACTGGGAACATCTGGTGCATCTCCATTTCAGGCTTTAAGTTCATGTTTTTCTTATTCTTCTGAAACTCCTGATTCAGAGCTCAAGAAGGTTTGACTAAAGCCGCTTTTGTTTTTCCTGCTTGTGCCTCAGCCTTTAATAGACAGACTGTCGGTGTCATTTACGAAGAGCAAGAGGGAGCTCCTTTTGAATCAGCTCTCACTGGTAAATTACACTATGAACTTTAGGTTGTTGTTGACCTTCCAATCCTTGTGAAAGTGATTTCAGAGTTTATGAGGATTTAGAACTCAAACAAATGAATGTGACTACTATCAGAAGACAATAATACTTAAATCAAACATAATATTTTCTTTGAAAACTAAACAGCATGCATTGACAGGTGAGGATTTTAAAGGGGAATTTTTCCTTGCTTCTCTCCATGTTAGGTTGTTGTTCAGCTGTCCACGTCAAAAGCTGATATGCACAAATACTGCAAGAGGAAAGCAACTGGGGTTTTGCCTTTTGGAAAGACTATCTATTAAATTCTTTAAACTGTTGAGTTGAAATGCAAAGTACATATTCTAAATACTTACATATATGGGCCCCACTCCCGCCCCACTCTTCTCAGCTGAAACCGTACCTTGGAACTGCAGAAAAGGATTTGCAACAAAAACTGTAGATCAGATATTGTTACAATTGAAATGTGATGTTGGCAGAGACAAGACAGAACTAATTTAATTTTTCCTGTCAGTCTCTGTAGCAGATCAATTAAACTGCCAAGTGGATCAAATGTTTCAGACTGTATTTATTACATTAAGTATTTATGTTCAGGCTGAGCATTTAAAGTATGATCTCATATAGGTATACAAGGAGGTTCAGATCAATTCAGCAGAATTTGCTGTAAGTTAATGGAAATCTAATTGTATATTTTAATTTTGTGTACAGGAGGCAGTAAGTTCCTGAAAGAAAGAAAGAAAGTGGTACCCTGTCTGTACTGTAGCAACTTGATCCAAATGTTATTAAAGCAATATCAAACTATCATAGACATTAGTGGAAGCTGGATCAAGATCTGGGGCTAACAGCTGAACGCTCACCGATTTTGATGGGAGCTAGTTGACTAAATTCTTCTGAGAATGCAAAATATGTAGGAATGATTCCTTCCTTACCCGCTGTGGACTCAGGGTTACTGCAATGAGTTGCAAAAAACCATTGATGTCTGCTATATGTGGGTGTCTCTTTCTTGGTGAAAGCCACATCCCTGTCCATCGTGGACTGACTGACAGGCAGGTGGGGACCTTGGGCTCCTGAGTCTCCCATCATTTGTCTCAGCTTTTGTGCCAGCAAAGTCCGATAGATTTCACCCGCAGACACAAGCAATTGTAAGATAGATTCAACCTTCCTTACAACCTATATTAAAAAAAAAAGTCTAAATCCAACTCTCCGGTATATTAGCTGAACCCTGGAGCAAATGGTACTTGTTACTTCCTATTTTTTTTCATGTGTGAGCTGTTGTTTGCAAGTGTTTTAACCTCAGTGAAAACGAAAGGAATGGTTTATGGGTGAATTATTGCTAGACATAGCCTAGTTTCCACCATAGGTAACTGTACCCTCAGGTTGCAGAACCGCTAGGTAATATCAGGTCTAATTATTAAGCAACGAGCTTAGATTGGTACTGAAGACTGATAAATATTTTATCCCTCTCTAACAATGAAATGAAAATTATTCTTAGAGGGTGGAGGTGATTCCTGTTCTTTTGAAAAGGGGAAGACTCTTTTCCACTTCTCCCTATCTCCCACTAAGCAGACAATGTTTGTGCTCAGTCCTGCACTAGGTACCGCAGACGGGCCAGCCCTCCCCTTGGCCCGGAAGCTGAAGAGCTGCGCTCGAAAGTCTCAGTTTGTGTGGAAAGCAGCAGTGCAAAGACAGCTGATGCACAGGCAGGCCTCAATGCTCCCCCATTTTGGAGCTAAACCTTAAAATAGTGGGCTTAATAGTACTGAAAAAGAGACTTCTGTGTGGCTTCTGCAGCTAAAGACCTGCTGCAAATGGTAGGGACTCTGTAGTGCCAATCTTCCTTTTCTCCCTCTTGTTAAAACAGTGGCTGTCCAGAACCCCTGAAATGGCTGTGATTCAACAGGGCAAAAAATGGTGGTGGCAAAACCTGTAAGTTGCATTACTGAGTGGATTTTGTTATAAACCCTCCTTGTGACCTGCTTGATGCAGCCACAAAATTCAAGATTGACCTTCCTAGTGCTAAAAGCAAAAAGTGGAGGATTTTAGTCAAGTACTGATCATATGCTCTATCACAGGAGTATTACAAGACAAAAGAAGACTTTCCAGTTACATTAATAACTTGTCACTTGTAGATTCTGGTTTTTAAAATGCAAAGAGTACTTTTTTATGAATGTTACCTGCAAGCTGCTAATCTCTGACAATTACTGTAGAGAAGTCTTGCCAACATCCTAAAACCAAAACCAAACAACTATCTGCCTTCATCCCTGGCAGACGGGTGCTGACCTGTTACTACTGAGAGCAGAAGTGTAAAAGAAAGACTACCTGCTCCCTGCAGGTTATTAGTTCCATCACTTAGTCATGAGCCATGTAACTCAAATTTAGCTGCAGAAATTAAAGCAAGCCCTTGGCTTGGAAAGATCAGAGGAAAACCTTGCATTGTGTCAGGATGTGTGTGGCTGGTCTGTTTCTTGTTGGGAGGCAGTGTACCAGCAAGGGACAGGATTTTACCAGGGACATGGAAGAGGATGTGGAGTTTGTGTGGCTTCTGAGACCCCTGAGAAAATTGTGTCACTGAATGTTTCTCACCAGAGAGTGAATTAAAGTAGTAGCTCAGCCATCCCACCCTGCCTCCCCTCCCTACTCCTCTGACATATTCTCCTTCATTTAATAGATGCATCTAAGCTAGGTACCAAGGTGGCTTTTTGGATGGACTGCATGTCCTGCCCAACAGTCAACCTACACTTTCAGGTGTGCTTGTTTGGGAACCGGCCCAAGTCCCAGCATTGTCAGAGATAAGCCAGATGAAGAGCCTGCAGTGGTCCAGCTCAGGAAGACAGCTGGTGGAATGAGGACTGTCTCCATCAGTGGGTTTCAGGGGAGCCTTTTGGCTTAAAGGGAGAGGAATACCCATTTCATCCTCTCTCCAGGGTTTTATTGCCTTCTTGGAACAGCCCATCTGTCTCAGATGCCAGGGTAGAGATGGTTTGCTCCGTCTCTCCTGATGGGACTCTCAGGCTACGTCAGCAACAGCAGCTTTAGGTGGCCTTGGATCACTTCTGGAGGCCATTCTCCTCGAGGTGTCGTCTTTAAGCGGCACTGACATTGGGTGGGTGAAGGTAGAACAGACCCTTGCAGGTAGACATGATGCCAATAGTTGGAAGGGGCCTGGCCAAGGAAAAGCCTATCTCATCTTAGAGTGAGATAGGAGAAAGTCGTTAGTGCCTGCGTAATAACAAGAATATTTTCACCTTTCTCTCTGCAGTAATCTTTCAGGTGCAGATAAGTGATGGGACCCCCACACTCACCCAACAAATACAGCTGCCCAAATTGGTCAGGCTTCAGTGTGCAGGTGGAGGGCAGGGGACACCTCCAGCAGCAGCTTGGCATAAGAACAGGGGATGAGCTCAGCCTGCTTGTGGGGAAGTCTCATGTGTGATCTAAACTTCACTGCTTGCTTCTGACTCTGCTTGCCCTCGATCACTCCAGTTGTCACCCTGTATGACTCACAGTGTAAGATTCTTCACAGTGGGTCTCAGTAGAACAGGATCTGGCTTTTCTAGCCCTGATCTGGAGAACATCTATGTAGCCACTACAGGTCAATAGGGGAGGGAGTGTTGCCATTCGAGACCCCAACCCCATCTCTGCCCTCTCCAGATTGACCATGGAGGGAACAGTCAGACAGTGCCCATGACCTTCCCCATCAGTGATGGTGCCTTGTCTCCTTCCTCCCCAGGGAGCCCGCTGTGCTCGTGCTGCGTTCCAGACCCCATGGGCCTCTCCTTCCTTCCCACCTACGGCTGCCAAAGCAACCGCACCGCCAGCGTGGCTGCGCTGCGCATGAAGGCCCGGGAGCACTCGGAGGCTGTGCTCCAGTCTGCCAACCTCCTGCCCACCACCAGCAACAGCCCCACTCCTCCCACCAAACCCAGCCCCGAGGGCAGCCAGGACAAGCAGCCCTCTCCAGCCAAGGAGCACATGGAAGGGGAGAAGAACTTATGAGACTGGACCAGCGCCAGCCCCTCAGCTCAGGGCAGGGACTTGCTGCCAGGAGTCTGCCGCAGGGTGAACTGCAGTGTGGCCATGCCCCAGGTAGTCATGGGGCCACCAGGGACCCGACAAATCTGAGTGGCCTCTCTGGCTGCCTTTCATGCACCCTTGCTTTTCTTCTGATGCTGTAGGTTCATTCCTCTGATTTATTGGCACTATCTGTGTTTGGAAACGTTCGTGACACTGTTTTTAGCCCCGCCTCCCCATCCCAGGGACACCGGAATGCCCAGGATCCTGGCTTGCTCCTGCACATCTCAGCTTCTCATCCCTGTGAGATGGAGGGCTGGCAGCAGGGCAGCGCTTCCAGATGTGAGGTCTGGGGCAGGAGAAGCATCCAGGCATCATTTACCCCACTAAGCACAGCAGAGGTGAAGGAATATGTAGGTATACACCAATTTGGCCTGCTGTTTTCTGATGGATTTTGACTGCAACCAAATCTATCCCAGGCAAGCTAGGTGTAAGAGAAGCAGAAAATAGAACAAAACACTTTGTAGTTTTTTCCTTCTCCCTTCTTTTCCCCAAAAGTGAAACTTTCCATGGGGTAGATTACTGGGAAATTCCTGAGATCAGTTTACCTGTGAATAAAATCCTTGCATTAGTCTCTATGTGAACATTAGTCTGTTACTCTTGCCATTCCCTGGGTTAGATGTAAAAGACACATGACTCCAGAGCAGCATTCATAGCTTCAAACAGTAATGCTGGTATTTAATGGAGAGTGCAGTTGTGTCTAGATCTGCACAAAGCTGGGGGTATTTTAGCATCATTCTCTTGGAAACAAAGACTGGAAAACAAATAATCCTGCATTGCAACACTGCAAATATGTCCTTGCATGTTTTGTTTTTAATAAAGAGGAAATAAAGCTTGGAAGGATATTCCTTTATGCCAACCGAAATCAGACTATTCCATTTACTGAAGGCTTGTTGTAATGAATCTAGATATGAAAGTGTCTTAATTATTACAGAGCGGGCACAGTGCAAAGGAGAAATTGATGCCTCAGGAAATATAGTCTTATCTCTGACCCAAAACTCCCCAAAGCAAAGCAGACTAAGATCTGGTGCTCTAGAGCAGACATTTTAGTCTGGGGTGCCCCACATTTTTTCCATGGGAAATGCACATGCAGATTTAATGTAGTGACATGGACTTGCTTTTCTCAGGTGCCTTTTGCAGACTCCTTATGCTTGTCCGCAGATGGCCCTGGAGAACAGGGTGAAACCACTGCTCTGAGACTTGACCAAGTAACGTGGAGGCAGGTGGAAGGTTTTCTGTCAGTTCTGGTCCTGCACGTTGTGCTGAGGACCTCCTGCAATGCGCTGAGCACATGCTTTTACATGGGGTTGTGTTCGGCTTCTCACAGGATCTGAGCCTGGGGGTGTGCTTGGAAAGGCAGTCCTGAGTAAGGTTGGCAGCAAAATTTTCTCTCCCCCACCTAAGGGATCTCAGCTCACGAATTACACAGAACCCAGGACTTCTCTGGGGCTTGCAGGACCCTCCCATGCTTCCTAGCACACACATTTCCTTTCCCTGAGGCAGTGCTTGGTGTCAGCACCCATTCAAAGGGTGGAACCTCTGGTCTTCAGGGGGTGGCTCGGCAGCGCCAAGCACCTTCATTGCTCCAGGAGTGAAGGGTACCAGGCATTCCCTCAGGGTTGGGTTTGTGTCTTCTGGACATAAGCTATCAGGGAGGGGCATTGCTGGGTCTGTCCTTGGATTCAAGTACAAAGAAAAGTCTGACAGGGCCTACAATGAAATGGAGTCATTTAGCTTTACTTTTGCCACACTGTGTGTTTCTTTTGGCAATTCTGAACTGTCCTAATTGTGGGGGTGGAGCGGAACATGCAGTAGTCTGTGATCTGCCTTTGTGTTTCAGCTTCAGGAGCGGCTCTGCTGGACTGTGGGTGGAGGTGGCTTCCCTGGCTGCAAATTATGGCTTAGTTTAAACAACAGCAACAACTTTTTTTCTTCCATCAAAATAAAATCGATCGCTGTGTGCTTTCTTGTGGAGAGTGGCTGGAGAAGGGAGAATCACTGTTTTCTTAGTGATCTTCCCAATCACAATTTTTTTGTGCCCCCCC